ACCGACAAATGGAAAGCCTATGCCCTGCTGTTTTCGATGGAGACATATGGATCTTCGGGCAGGACTTCAAGGCTTCTGCGCAGTTGAGTGGCGTTCAAGATCTGTCAGCAATGGAGCTGCTACTTGGGACGCTGCTGGGAGGTCGGGTGAAAGCAGCATATGAAAGTGTGAGCCGAAGTATGGACGAATGTTCGACAGGGTCAGGCAAACAGTTTCCAAAGTGGGAAGGACCATATATGGTCACTTCGAGATGGGGTTACGCAGACACAGTCGCAATGGCGAACAATAAGAGGCGCGTGAACGTCAGCGAGCTCCAGAAATGGATACAGCGAGACAAGCCAACGATGACGCCTGCACCAAGTAGATCAAGCCGACTTCAGTCGCACGTATTTGACGGGGGGACGAGTGTGGTGAGAGCAGGCTGCTAGCCGATTGGTTGGCACTAATCTACGTTAAGGTCTAGGTCACTAATATGGGCCGTGAGAAAATATGAACAAGCCTGAGTCAACAACCAATCACAGCAAAGTTAACGTGGCAGAATATGATTCGCAGAGAGAACTCTGTTTGTCAAGGAATCCCGAAACAACCAATCAGAAGCCTGCGTTTGTCTACCTAAACAACCAATCAGATGACTGCGCTTGTCTATAATAATGTAGTTGAAAGATGTATAAATACGTGTTGATTTTCATAATAAAACGATCTGTTGCCTGGCCCTTGTCTTCTGTTGTTACAGTAGTAGTAGTAGTAGTAGTAGTAGTAGTAGTAGTAGTAGTAGTAGTAGTAGTAGTAGTAGTAGTAGTAGTAGTAGTAGTAGTAGTAGAAGTAGTAGTAGTAGTAGTAGTGTGGTGAGAGCAGGCTGCTAGCCGATTGGTTGGCACTAATCTACGTTAAGGTCTAGGTCACTAATATGGGCCGTGAGAAAATATGAACAAGCCTGAGTCAACAACCAATCACAGCAAAGTTAACGTGGCAGAATATGATTCGCAGAGAGAACTCTGTTTGTCAAGGAATCCCGAAACAACCAATCAGAAGCCTGCGTTTGTCTACCTAAACAACCAATCAGATGACTGCGCTTGTCTATAATAATGTAGTTGAGATGTATAAATACGTGTTGATTTTCATAATAAAACGATCTGTTGCCTGGCCCTTGTCTTCTGTTGTTACAGTAGTAGTAGTAGTAGTAATAGTAGTAGTAGTAGTAGTAGTAGTAGTAGTAGTAGTAGTAGTAGTAGTAGTAGTAGTGTGGTGAGAGCAGGCTGCTAGCCGATTGGTTGGCACTAATCTACGTTAAGGTCTAGGTCACTAATATGGGCCGTGAGAAAATATGAACAAGCCTGAGTCAACAACCAATCACAGCAAAGTTAACGTGGCAGAATATGATTCGCAGAGAGAACTCTGTTTGTCAAGGAATCCCGAAACAACCAATCAGAAGCCTGCGTTTGTCTACCTAAACAACCAATCAGATGACTGCGCTTGTCTATAATAATGTAGTTGAGATGTATAAATACGTGTTGATTTTCATAATAAAACGATCTGTTGCCTGGCCCTTGTCTTCTGTTGTTTCATTTGGTGTCGCTGCCTACCGACAAATGGAAAGCCTATGCCCTGCTGTTTTCGATGGAGACATATGGATCTTCGGGCAGGACTTCAAGGCTTCTGCGCAGTTGAGTGGCGTTCAAGATCTGTCAGCAATGGAGCTGCTACTTGGGACGCTGCTGGGAGGTCGGGTGAAAGCAGCATATGAAGGTGTGGGCCGAAGTATGGACGAATGTTCGACAGGGTCAGGCAAACAGTTTCCAAAGTGGGAAGGACCATATATGGTCACTTCGAGATGGGGTTACGCAGACACAGTCGCAATGGCGAACAATAAGAGGCGCGTGAACGTCAGCGAGCTCCAGAAATGGATACAGCGAGACAAGCCAACGATGACGCCTGCACCAAGTAGATCAAGCCGACTTCAGTCGCACGTATTTGACGGGGGGACGAGTGTGGTGAGAGCAGGCTGCTAGCCGATTGGTTGGCACTAATCTACGTTAAGGTCTAGGTCACTAATATGGGCCGTGAGAAAATATGAACAAGCCTGAGTCAACAACCAATCACAGCAAAGTTAACGTGGCAGAATATGATTCGCAGAGAGAACTCTGTTTGTCAAGGAATCCCGAAACAACCGATCAGAAGCCTGCGTTTGTCTACCTAAACAACCAATCAGATGACTGCGCTTGTCTATAATAATGTAGTTGAAAGATGTATAAATACGTGTTGATTTTCATAATAAAACGATCTGTTGCCTGGCCCTTGTCTTCTGTTGTTTCATTTGGTGTCGCTGCCTACCGACAAATGGAAAGCCTATGCCCTGCTGTTTTCGATGGAGACATATGGATCTTCGGGCAGGACTTCAAGGCTTCTGCGCAGTTGAGTGGCGTTCAAGATCTGTCAGCAATGGAGCTGCTACTTGGGACGCTGCTGGGAGGTCGGGTGAAAGCAGCATATGAAAGTGTGA